GACAAGATAGACCGAAGGATCTGTTTCTGTGCTGTACATCTCTATGACTCTATGATTGACTTAATGGGCAGAAACCTGTAGGGTCTGAGTGACGGTCAGGCTCACTGCCCTGTAATTACCTTGGATATCGCTGTTTCTCTTCTTAAACAAAGGAACAACATTGGCCATTTTCCAGTCCTCTGGAACCTCACCTCAGGCCAAAGAGGATGCAAAGATATCTGTTAAGGCCCTAGCTATTTCCTCTCTTGCCTACTATCATATCCTGGGATAGATCCATTCTGGCACGGGGTCTTGTGTATCTTAATGTATTTCAAAGCATCCAACACTCCCACTTTCATTACGCTGACCTGCCTGAGAGTATTCACACAACTTTCCTTAACCTCAACATCCCTCACATTCCTCTCTTTGGTGAATATGAATGTAAAGTACTCATTAACGATCTCACCCAGTTTGGTTGCTGGAATTAGAAGGTTTGAGGTACAGGGAAAGGCTGAATAGGCTGGGGCTATTTCCCACGGAGTGTCAGAGGCTAAGGTGTGACTTTATAGAGGTTTATAAAATCATAAGGCACATGGATAAGTTGAATAGCCAAGGTCTTTTACTCCAGAGTTGGGGAGTCCGAAACTAGACGGCATAGGTTTAAGGTGATGGGAGAAAGGCTTAAAGGGGATCTGAGGGGCAACTTTTTCTCGCAGAGGGTGGTACATGTGTCAAACAAACTGCCAGAGGAGGTGGAGGTGGATACAATTACATTTAAAGGGGACCTGGAGGATGAATAGGAAGGGATATGGGCCAAATGCTGGCAAATGGGACTAGATCAGTTTAGGAAATCTGGTCGGGTCGGACTGAAGGGCGTGTCTCTATGCTGCAGAACTCTATAATTTGGATCTAAAGTAATATGTCATAGAGTCATACAGCATGGAAACAGACCTTTCACATAAGACAATGTAATGTAAATAAATTGATTATTGCAAACCAATTTAATACATAAATAAACAGACTTGTCATTGATTATATTTACATTTTATCAAAACATTTTACATTTTGTTAAAGTTGTATTTGTTTCATCAATTTTCCAAATAAGTTAAATCACTTTTCTTTTGGATTCATTGTCTAATTTTTTTATTGATTTAAAGGGCAGAAACCTGTAGGGTCTGAGTGACATGGGCTATGTTGTGATGTTTAGCTGAATTGCAACAAGACAAGGCAGAGATGGTGCGAACATCTAGGTAGGCTCAGAGTGAGTGAGAGCTATAAGAATAAGCAGAGGAACTTGAGGTACGGCTTGATCCAGTTCATGAGCTGAATTGAGCGACCAGTGTAGCAAGGTCCGTCTCAATCCTGGGAGCAAGTTGCTCCATCTTTTAAGCTTTTCACAAGTGGCATGGCAACATTCCCATATGACAGTGGAAAGTTGTCAACTGATAGGGATTTTTACTTGTTAAATTACTTATTAACAGCTCACAATTTTTTCCTCTCCCACCTTACCATACTTGTCAAACAAACTAGTCCAGAAAACTTGACAAGGAAACAACAACAAGCACTTGGCAGACTCAGCTCACTGTTTGCTCCAAATATACATGAATTCATACATCTGAGGGCATGCTTCGGTGCGCCAGCCACAAGCACCCCACCTCCACTGACATCTACATGTGGCAGCCTCTAACAACTTCATGGCACATACAGGATGCTTCTTCGCTTCAATGCTGCACCTTAGGCTGCAAAGGTAACTATTGTTAACACTGTAGCAAGGACACTGTGTGCTCAGGAGCACGTTCTCAGCTCATGAACTGGATCAAGCCGTACCTCAAGCTTCTCTGCTTATTCTTATAGCTCTCACTCACTCTGAGCCTACCTAGATGTTCGCACCATCTCTGCCTTGTCTTGTTGCAATTTGGCACCTCATATTACTGCTGTCATTCTGTGCCATTTAATGGATGCAAAGCCAGGACATTTGTTACAGCTGTCAACAAGCCTCGGGCATGTCAAGGGCAAGCCTTCGGTCAGGGGTTCCCTGCGCTCTAAGTGATGGGCAGCCTCTAATACCAATCCAGGCCATGCTTCAGGTGGTTAATCAAGATTCTCTCCTCATATGGGATGAAGAGCCATATGTCAGACAATCCAACACCTGTCTTGATGCTTTCTGACACGTTACAGGCTGATTTTCTTGTGGAATGAGAAAGTTGGGTATTATGGGAGATGAAACTGGGTGGTACAGCTGTTACTGTGGGTTAGGTCTCCTGCACGAGTGAGTAAAGAGCACAGATAGTGTGCAGGGTTAGTGGTATTGTGAAGGTTGGGGTGGGTGAGAATGTGTGGGGAAGATGTTGAAGGTAATAACAAGAGTGGGAGAGCAGGACCATGGGAATAGATATAACAGCAAAGATCGAGTGAGTATGAGGTATTCCAGAGAAGATAGTGGCAATTACCCAGGGGGAGTAGAGAAAGACATTCATTGACCTTCTTCCTACAGTGCTGGGCATTCCTCCAGACAGCGTGGAGTGCTTTAACCAGACTGGCAACCTCAGACTATGTTTGTATCATCTTCAGTGTCAGTCCTTGAGGAAAAGGAAGTCTCATACTGAAACCACCCTAGGTTCCTACCGTCAAAATAGGGTGCCATATTCCCCCTGTCTATCATGTCCAGGCCAAATTTCAGCAATGGCGCAGGGCAGTTTCAGAGTGACGGTGCACAACACGCTTTTAAAGATGGCGTAGGTGCAGGGATGCCAGTGAATTCTGGGATATCCGCTCTGGCAAGTTGTCTCTGGAATGATAATTGGTAACTGAGGCAGTACCTGGACATGACAGACACCATGGAGGTGTGGTAGGTGATTAATGAAGCAAGTTGGTAAATTATGATGAGAGAACGTGTTGGGCCTTGTGGCACAAATTCCTCCAAAAAACAGACTTAGCCAGAGTAACTCAACATTCAGTCCAAATAAATCCAGATGCATGGGAACACTAATAATTGTAAGCTGTCCAGACCCCCAGCCTCCCGAGTCACACAGCACACTGATTTGGAATATATTGCCAATCCTTTGCTGCTGTTGGTCAAAATCCTGGAACTCCCTGTGTAATAGCATTGAGGATGTGCCTACAACACAATCACCTTCTCAAGTGCAAATATAGAAATGGACAATACATGCTAGCTATGTAACAGCACCCACAGCTTGTAAGCAAATATATACTGTATATTTTTTTGAGTGTCATAGATGGAAGAGATACAAAGGATCTATTAGTGAAAGTAATTGTGGATCACTATTGCATAGAAACCTCTCAATGAGTTGTACAACTCATTACTAAACAAAGAGACCTTGGCTTGCCTGTTCATAGTTCCTTCAAAGTGGAGTCACAGGTAGATAGGATAGTGAAGAAGACGTTTGGTATGGTTGCCTTTATTGCTAAGTGCATTGAGTATAGGAGTTGGGAGGTCATGTTGTGGCTGTACAGGACATTGGTTAGGCCACAATTGAAATGCTGTGAGCAATTCTGGTCTCCCTGCTGTAGGAAGGATGTTGTGAAACTTGAAAGGGTTCAGAAATGATTTATAAGGATGTTGCCAGGGTTGGAGGATTTGAGCTATAAGGAGAGGCTAAATGGATGGGGGCTATTTTCCTTGGAGTGTTTCAGTCTGGGAGGTGACCTTATAGATGTTTATAAAATCATGAGGGTCATGGATAGGGTAAACAGACAAGGTCTTTTCCGCAGGTTTCGGGAGTCCAAAACTAGAAGGCATATGTTTAAGGTGAGAGGGGAAAGATTTAAAAGGGGCCTGGGGTGGTACATGTATGGAATGTGCTGCCAGAAGAAATGGTGGGGGCTGGTACAATTACAATAGTTAGTTCTGCTATAATGCGTGTTTCGTTAATGCGATTAATGAATAGTGGACGCTGTTTGGACAACGCAAACTTTCTGCTGTACAGGTATAGCAATTTTCTATTAGCATGAAGTCACATAGCAACATTATTGCGTTATAGGAGAACTACCGGCATTTAAAAGGCATCTGGATAGGTACAAGAATCGGAAGGTTTTAGAGTGATATGGTCCAAATGCTGGCAAATGGGATTAGATTTATTTAGGATATCTGGTGTGGGAGTGGGACTGAAGGGTCTGTTTCTGTGCTGTATATCTCTGTGACTTTTAAAGTTCAATGTGACTATTGTCTACAGTAACCATCAAACACTTCAGAATATTCTGAATATCACTCAGTAAATCTCACAAGTCTGAAGGATCAGCTAACAAGTGAAGGATAATGAAAAGTAGCCCCATTTTGGCCTTGCATCACTTCCAAGGCTTATGTGCAGGTTCACTTACTACACCCGAGTAATTGCCTCTTCATGTTTGCATGAATGTCCTTTGTCTGTTTTGTTGGTGTGAACAGTTTACTACTATTCCAATATACCGTATTGCATGATTTCACCCTGTCACAGATTTTTCCTACAATTAATCAGAACAAAAATCAGCATTTTAATCTTACGGTTCTACTATTTAGAAAGGTGCACCTTAAAATATGCTTTGATCTGTGTTTAACGGATTTTATAGTTTTTTCATTCCTCTGAAGGTGCGGTATAAAATTCATTTGTGTCAAAATGGTATTTTCTTTTTATTGGAACTTCAAATAGTGCACACATCTCATAATCTATTTCAGAGGAAAATGTGCATCACTGTAAACTGACAATCTCGAGAACAAAATCGGATACAAAACTACTAGCAGAGGAGCGAGAAAATCAGAAAAAAGGTTTGAAAAGGATAATATGTAACTAAATTGTTGTGAGTCATTGGAGCAGAATTACGAACACTTGCCAGAGGCGTGTAGCCAAAGTTAACGATGAGGGTCCTTGCTGTGCTGTTTTCTCAATGACACATACTGTACCATGTTCCGCAATAGAATATTTGTGGTTTATGTGAGAGGAGCGGCTCCATATCTGACTCACTGGGATCAGGCATTTCCCGCCAAGCCAACAAAACCACCTGAGATTTTGGCGCCAAAGCGTGTGCTGATAGAGAATGGGTGACATCTACTTTTTGTCTCAGACATGTTTCACACGTGGCATTGTTTTGTGAAGGCTTTCGTCCTTCCTTCATCATCTTTCGGCCTAGATCGGTCAGTTTTTTTTCGCTCTCTAAGGCAGCTGAGTACTTTTCCTCAGGTAGTCAACCCTTGGCGGTCCTCATGCCCTCGCGTGATTTGCTTCGCGCCGCCGAGTTGCCCCTCAAAGGGCGGGGCAAGAGCGACTGCCGTCCGACGCAGTGAAGTCATCGGCCGGGCGCGGAGACATCTTTGGAGCGTACGGTGAGGACGCCTGGGGTCGTCGTCCAATCGGAGCGGGGCTGCAGTGCGCGCGCTGCAATAGGCGGGAGAACGCGGGTTTGAATCGGACGCTGCGCGCGCGGAGCAGATCCGTTGGATTCAAGGAGAGGGGGGAAAGATAAAAAAAAAACAATTGAATTCGCGGGAAAGCTTCCCACCCCCCCCGCCACTAAGAAGGAGATTGGGGGAAAAACAAACATTAGCACGTCCGAAGTGATTATCATTATTCGCTTTTGTTAAAGTGATTGTGATTGAAGATGTGGATCCAGGTGCGAACTATGGACGGCAGGGAGACGCGGCACATTGACGGACTCTCCAAACTAACCCCAGTGCAGGAGCTGAGGGAAAAGATCCGGGAAGCGTTTGGTGTGGAGGCGGATCGGCAACGGCTCTTCTATCGGGGAAAGCAGGTATTCTACACGAGAGGGTTGTAAGTAGAAAGTTAACAGGAGGGCGCCCAGTTTGAATGGGAAAACCGAATAGGGAACAAACGGCCGTCCACATAAGATAGTATTCGGCAACTGGCACTAGAGGGTTAAAATATCTACCGCTACGCGCGGGAGAAGAGGATTCGCCTCCGTTAAGCAATAATCGACTGAGCGGGGCTTCTCTGGGGATAGCACTCTGTAAAAACGACGTCCGTCCCCGAATAGATCTAAAAGAGGTCTACTCTTTGTCTCTTTGTGTGCTGACCATCCGCTCCTTGACATTATAATTCTGTTTTAAATCTACTTTTAAATGGTTTAAACACTTCATGGCTTTCCAACTGCATCCAGAGGCGGGCTGTTTACACCACAACCTAGCTTGCTGACGGTCACATTACTATTGGTCCTGTCTCCTGCTCCCCTGTGTCTGATTGGCTAGTTCACCTGTCCGTCACAATTTGTCCCGCCTATCCCTCCGCCCCCTCGCGTTTGGTTGCGCGGGGAGGTGTTGGTGCTTAAAAAGGCGCTAAATGCCCGTCCACCCGTTTGTCGATTTATTCTCAATAATTCACCGGGATAAAATTTCACCACAACGTGTTCGGGAGCGGGGGGAAGGAATGTGTACTCTTCTGAACGATTGTACATTTTGCTGAACTTTTCATCTTGATATTTTTATCATGTTTGAAATAATCATCAGCAATTTTCATTCAAATGCACGGGTACCAGGAAAATTAAAGTGTTAGTTGGCGCCACTCTTTGGCAACTTCTTAGGTACAGGATCATATTGAACTAGAGTCTACTTCTTCAGAATAATTCTGCTGCAGACAGCATTCTCACCATTACCGCAATTGATGCACCCACGAAGAAAATGTGCCGTTAATATATATTGCGGTAGGGCAAACTAGTGACAGTTTTTTTTATTGCTCCAAGCTTTTAACTGTAGAAAGGATCTTTGTGCGCCACCTAGTTCAATATCTGACGTTCATCTTCATGAACGGCTGGTTCTTCGTGACAGTGGATCACAGATTATTGCATGTGTGTTTCTACATTTAATAAATGCACATACAACTTGCTCCTTTGATCCTAGCCGGATGCTTCCAAACCACTTTTTTAAGTGTTCATCAAGTGAGGGACGTTAGAATTGAGAAATAAATTCCATCCCTTTAGGATTTTGTTTCATACAAGTTGATCGCCACATTTCCTACTTTACAATAATGACTACACTTAAATCTGGTTTTAAAACTCTTTGGAACAACCTGGTATGTTTGCCAGATTTTCTTTCAAGTGTAGCACAATCAGCTACAAAATGAAACGATTCCTTTAGTCTTGTTTATAGCATAAAAAAACCTATTACACAATTGATATTTTTGATTTCTCACGTCAGCCGTAGAGATTCTCCGATGGCACCAAATTCGGCAAAGCCACTGAAAACAACTTCTGGACATCGGCAATTGACCGAGATATTTACAACTGATAAAGCTAATAATCATTCCATTAGATGGACTTCAGTGAGATATTTTCACCTTTTGAAGTTTATACTCTTGGAATGTGGATGGTTTCAAGTAATGGGAATGGTAGTTCTCACAGCTTTATGAGGAAAGAAAGAGATGAATCTTTCAATCTGAAAATAGGCCAAGGCTTGCCATATTTATTGTTGGCCAGGTCGATGTGCACAGCTGCAGTAGAATGGGCTGTTTATGTCAGTTCACGTGGCTGAACATTTTGATTGTTGTGTTTTCTAACAATGATAAATCTAATTCCAAGAGCGTTCTCCAGCTCGAATCATTGCTATTGTTTTAGTCCTCATAGATATGTATGAACCAGTGTTCCAAATTTGATTTTAAAATTTTTTGTTAGATCAGCAAAATTGACATGAATAGTTGTTGCTAATGCATTCTTGGCATGATTTGCCTCAACAATCTCCTGTTGACTTGGCATAGCACCTAAATCCTTGCTGTCCATGTTTCGCTGATGCACATTGTGTAAAAATTTTACTTACATCAATGTGTTGTGACAATTTCAATGTTCAATATCTGTTTCAACAAACTGGTAAGTAGTGACTTGCTGATTCACTTGTAGATTGTAGATAGTATTCGAAACCTGGGTAGATATTTAATTTGACATAGTTTCAAGATTTAAGTTTTAATTTTGCATCTGTTTAAACTATTTGAAGTTGTAGTGAAAGATCGCAGGGTGTTTGCATGTGTTTTTGGCTTTTCCCACTCATGAAAACAATTCAACTACCCATATTGCTATTGCTTGAGGTTGCAGACTTGCTCGCCAAGCTGATGTGTTTGATTGCAGACGTTTCGTCACCCTGATAGGTAACATCGTCAGTGCGCCTCTGGTGAAGTGCTGATGTTCTGCCCTGCTTGTTATTTTATATGCCTCGGTTTGCTGGGGTGGTTGGTATTACTTCCGGTTTTGTTTTTCAGTGGTTTGTATATCGGGTCCAGTTCAATGTGTTTGTTGACGGAGTTCCGGTTGGAGTGCCAGGCCTCCAGGAATTCCCTAGTGTCTCTTTTTTGGCTTATGCTGTTATGGATGTGTTGTCCCAGTTGAATTAGTGTCCTTCTTTTGACTGGGACAACACATCCATAACAACACAAGCCAAAAAGAAACACGCCAGGGAATTCCTGGAGGCCTGTCATTCCAACCGGAACTCCGTCAACAAACACATTGAACTGGACCCGATATACAAACCACTGAAAACCAGAACCGGAAGTAATACCAACCACTCCAGCAAACCGAGGCATATAAATAACAAGCAGGACAGAACACCAACGCTTCACCAGAGACGCACTGACAATGTTACCTATCAGGGTGACGAAACATCTGCAATCATTCACACAGGCTCGGCGAGCTAGTCTGCAACCTCATCCATGACCCGAGCTACAAATCTTCTCAAAATCTTTAAATGGCTATTGCTTCTCCAATTTCTGTTCAACATTGTCTGGCAAGTGACAGTTCAGTTGGCCATATTAAAGCAACGTAATTATGATAAGGTATATAAAGAAAACTTGAACAGCAGCTTAGCAGCATTACTTCCAATCATACTTGAAGAGTCATGTATCAAAATGTTGGATTTAGAGTGTCACCAATTCTTGGGTACTGCTTCAGTGCAGCATTTGTGCTTTTATCTCCCATGAGAGAACAGAAGTGTGGTGAATAGATGATCTGTGCTTGCTTGCAGCTTCTATTTGTAATTCACAGGGATTGGTGAAAATTTGGGAATGGATTAGCTGCCCCTGTCTCTTGAATAGTTTTTTTGCTTGGCAGAACATAGATATTAAGAAGAATTAAATAATTGCACGTGTGGCACCCATTCGTTTAATGTTTCATATTCCAGAGCGAAGAGAAACCATAATGGTGAAAGGTTAGATCCTTGCCACAGGATGATATTGTCACAGAATTAAACTTCATTCCTACAATAATGAAATTTGCTTTTTAATCGATGATGACTGCAATCATAGGATAGTTAGTATATTTAAATAACGTATATATATATTCATTTTCTATTGGCTGTAATGATCAGGTATGGAGATATGCTTTTTTTTTTCTCAATTATTCCGAAGACTCTGATCAGTAAGCCATATCAGAGGAAGATAGTCCTGTCCGTTGCGAATATGTAGTATCCTGCACACGATTTAAAAATTAGATTTTTAAATTAGCTGACTTGAATGTCTGGTCTCTGACGTACTTGACATTGTCAATCCATCAGCCACCATCACACTGCAGTTTGTAAGATCTTGCTGTGCACAAATTGGCTGCCTTGTGCCCTACATTGCAACAGTGACTGTACTTCAGATGTCCTCTGTCCTCCTTTGAGACTGTCCAAGATTATATGTGGTACAGAAGGAGACTGAAGTCATCATTTAAGAAGAGAAGGACTAGAAACAGGAATAGGCAATTCAGACTCTTAAGCCTGCTCTGCCATTTGGCACGATCATGGCTGATCTCATCTCTACTTCAACTCCACATTCCTGCCCGCTTTCCGTAACGCTTCAGCCTGTTACTAATTAAAAATTATCCCCATCTCAAATTTACTCCATGTCCCAGCATCCACTGTACTCTGGGGTAATGAATGCCAGAGAAATAACTTGTCCTTGTCTCTATCTTAAATCTGCTACTTCTTATCCTAAAACTATGAGCACTTATAGAGGATGTGGAGCAGTCACTAGCAACCAGGAGGTCCTTCAAATATAAAACCTCCACTTCAGAGCTGAACAGATTGCAAAGGTGATGTTGGAATGCCAGGTGAGTGACTAGGCAAGAGCTAAAATACTTTGGGCCACAGTATCAAATGTTTTGCATGAAATATTGCTAAGGACAGCAATATACTGCAGAGAATGGAAGTATGAGTTCAGTAAAGAGGCTGGAATTTTTCTCCATAGAGCCAAGGAAATTAAGAGGAGATTTTACAGAGTGTTGAAAATCATGGCTTTGAATTAATAATGGTAAAACTGTTTTGAATGGCAGAAAAATCGATAAGCAGAGAACATGTATTTAGGATGATTGTCAAAAAGAGACAACAGGAGGAAACCTTTTAGTTTAAGCACAGTGGACAGTGAGTTGTGAGCTGGCATCAGTTGCCTGAAGCGGTAGCAAAACCAGATCCAAAATAATTTTCAGAAGAGAATTGAACAAATAGAAAAGAAAGATTGCATTTATATAGTGCTTTTCACACCCATTGGACATCTCAAAGTACTTTGCAACCAACAACATACAATTTTTTTGAGATGTAGTCACTGTGTCAATTTAAGGAGATGCAGCAGCATATATACACATAGCAGGATCCCACAAATAGTAATAATAACCAGATAATCCATTTTTTTTAATGTTGATTGAAGGATAAATATTGACCATGATGCCAGGAGCACACCACTGTTCATCAAAATAGTGGCATAAGGTCTTTTATGTCCACCAAAAGGGTAGATGAGGCTTCATTTCATCTGAAGTATGGCACTTCTGAGAATGCTGCGCTGTCAAGTCAGCCTTGTTTTGTCCTCGAGTTCTGGAATGGGATCCAATCCCAGAACCTTGTGATTCAGTAGTGAGAGCTGGTGATAAGCCAAGTGGTCTGCTGTGCTGTATTCCTCTGCAATTTTAAAAGGTACAAAAGCAAAATGCAGCAGATATTGGAAATCTGGTGGTAAAGCAGAAAATGCAGGCAATACTCTGCAGAGCAGGCACCGTGTCTGGAGAGAGGAACTCAGTGCTTCAGGCCGATCTTTTATCAGAAACAGAAGATGGGAGTGATAAACAACTTTTAAGTATATACATCCTCCATCATTAAAAACATTAATGTTTAAAGTAAAGACTAGATTATAGAACCATACAACACTAAAGTTGACCTTTTAGCCCATGTTGTCTAAGCTGTCCCTTTAAAAGACTTGTATTGATCAACATAATTTATCTGTGTGCATTATCGGCGTAGTGTCTGAGGAAGGGGCTGAGCTTTGAAAGCTTGTGTTTTCAAATAAACCAGTTGGACTACAACCTGGTGTTGTGTGATTTTTGACTTTGTCCATCCCAGTCCAACACTGGCATCAGGTTTATTAATTAACATGGTGAAATGTTATCCTGTGCCTCCAGAGCATTAGCTCTTACCTCTGAATTACTTATCTAGTAATATTACCACTCCACCGCTGTCTCACCATGCTGTTTTCTGTACTCTTTTCATTGTTCCCAAAGAAACTGTGTTTCCTTTCATATCTTGGAAATGTACTAAATGCAAGAATAAACACCTAAATAAAACAAAAGCAAAGTGCCAAAGAAGTTGAAAATCTGAAATAAAAAGGAAAATGCTGGAAGTACCCCAGCAGGTCAGATAACATATGTGAAGAAATGAGAGTTGTAATTTCAGGTTGTTGACCTTTCACCAGGATGAGAAAAAAAACCTCATTAAAATCCAGTTGTGGGGTTATAGTCCAGTTCTGAAGAAGATTCTTAATGGACATAAATTACCACAGATACTGCCAGAACTGCTGAGTTTCTCCAGCACCTCCTGTGTTTGTGTGGGGTTACAGTTTGTCCTCCAGTAATATGACTACAAACAGGAAAGTAATGTTACTTGGAACCCTACTGACATCATGAACAAAATCATTGAAGTACCGACGATGAGCTAGTGTGACAGCAGCTCATTCTTCCACAGTCTGTGGTTGTGACTCATGGGAGGAAATTTAAAAGGGACCTGAGGGGCAACTTCTTTTGCACAGAGGTGCTTTGTATATGGAATGAACTGCCAGAGGAAATAGTAGAGGCGAGTACAATTACAACATTTAAAAGACATTTGGACAGTACCATGAATAGGAAAGGTTTAGAGGGATATGGGCCAAATGCAGGCAAATCGGGCTAGTTTAGTTTGGGGAAACTTGGTCGGCAAGGCCAAGTATTGCATTAACTGTCTTACTGTTCTTTTCACCAGCTATTAAACTTGCTAGTTTGGATTTAATTTCTTGATTTCACTGGGACAGTAGGTTAATTTTCCAGTTTTTTTCCCCCAACTATCTTGCCTTGGTAAACTGTCAGCTCCCTGTAGGTTTATGGTTCCATGAGGCCAGATTGCGCGTCATAGCTATAGTAAATATTTTTCTCCCTAGCCTAGGATCTTAAAGGCAATTATTGTTAACAGTCCAGAGATTATGCAATGACGGTTATTCTGTAAATTCTTTTGCAGTCTGATGCCTGACAGCTCTCCTAAATGTTAGCTTTATTGTTTAAAGGATGGTTGGTTACGTTGTTTTCAACCCATCTTTTATCATGGTAGTAGAAGAGTTGGTTATGTGGATAAAAGTGCAATATTCTTGAGGTAGTTGTGAGTGGCCTGCTTTTTGTTTTAAAATTCTGGATGTTTCTTTTTAAATGGCAGGGGCACTGTTCTGTAATGCAAGTTATTTTCATGTGGTAAATGCCTTTTCTACCAAAGACTGTAATACTTGTTCTGATAGTTAAGAAAATTAAATATTTTCTCTTCCTTTCCTGTTTCTGTCTTTAATTTGTGGTTGTAATTTGATGAAATTGAACATAGAAAATTTCCATGGGATGTAGCTTTTACATATGAAAAAAGATTAGAGAGCCTTAATTCAGAAAGTTTCTTAGTAGATGTCTAACTTGTTTCTTTTGCCTCTTTAGATGGAGGATGCCCATTCACTTTTTGACTATAACGTGGGACTTAATGACATCATCCAGCTGCTAATTCGTCAGGTTGATCAAGTTGTATCGAAAGGCACCACGAGAAAGGAAAAAGATGCAGAGCTCTCTGACACAGACTCTGGATGTGGTTCTGCACAAAGTGAATCAGATAAGAACTCTAATAGTGGTGAAGCTGCTATGGACTTGGATGGACAGGCAGGAACGTCCACTCAGTCAGATCTCATTGACCCAGGGTTTGGCTTATATAAGGTAAGCAAAAAGTCTGTCTTATCAACGTACAGTTCTACTAAGTAATTGTACATCGTTAAAGAATCAGAGTTTTCAATTTTAAGATGCGTCTCAAACTATCATAATTGCAGAAATAACATTAGCAGTTTGCCTGGAAATCTTGAATTTGTCATGTCGATTCTGTAATATACAAGGGTATTGTCTTTAATATTTTAGAGATCAATACAGAAATATATTAATATGCCAGTGAACGTGCTGAAGACCTGTTTTCAGAGTTAGCCACACCTGTAGTCAATCTGTTCTGTTCAATTGCAACAGTGACATCTGCCTGACAGTGGAAACGTCCTTAAGTATGACCAGTGCAAATCAAATCTGGTCAATTACAGCTCCATCAGATAACTCCCTCATTAGCGTAGTTGCGATGTTGTCATTGATGCTATCAAATGGCATTTATAATATGCTCACCAATGTTTGCCTGGATTTTGACTTGTTATGCATTCAGAAACAAGTTGTTTCACGAGTTGTGAATTGAACTAAACACTGCAATCAGAGAACAATTCTAGTTTTATATTGGAGGCAAGTTGTTGTGAAAGATACTGGTCCGAGCAGGACACTGCCTTCAGAAACTGTCTGAGATGATTGACCCTCGGATAACTCCTTCCTCTGTCCTCATGAAAGGTCCCAGAGCTATGATATTAATACCGTTTTTCTCACCATAAATGTTGCCAGATTGTTGAATATTTCCAGCATTTTTTGATTTCTCTCTTTATATTTCTTTAAAGTGCGCAACCACATACTTCTCGCCTGCCTGTGTCTGGACACCATAGTGCCACTATGGTCAAATGTCGCCTCAACCCGCCCTAACCTCACTTCTGATATTCAAGTCTTTTGTTTACTTTTAGACCAATGCAATAAGATCTGGAGTTACGTGGTTCTGACAGAACTCAATAATGTGGGTCTTACCATAATTGACTAAACAGAATTTGATAACTTATTGATATACTTTGATGTTAGCATGTAGATACTGGAGGAAAAAGCATTGACGAATGCCAGGAAAACATTGTGTTGATTTAGCGAGTTTGTAGTTCTACTGAGTGGTAAAGGTGCGATCCAGAATGTAGGGCAGTTTGCTGTTTAGACTCAGAGTTCCACATTAGTCATAAATATGACTGTACGGCAACTGTGTTGTGGTATCATATATGTAAGTTATTCTTCTAGCCTTCAGCTCTGAAGCATGCCTGTACTTTGAATGTTACTGGGTTGGAAAAGTTGGGATTCACAGATTGTGACATCTCCTGAAGAAATATAATGCTGCAGAACATTTTTCTGATTGGTTTATGGAAATGATTAGTAGCAGGCAGAATTGCTGATAATGCAGAAACCCATATAACACCAGACAGCACTAATTTGGAAATTGTCTGTTCTTGTATTAAATATGGAGACTGCATGGTTTAAATGGAAGATTTGGCAGTGTAACTATGTTGGGTGGTTTTAGTAATGGCTAATGTGTCCTTTTGCTGTATATTATTGCCTTGGAAGGTCTGTGTTTTCAAGAGGGCTAAGTAATTTCTTCTTACAGGGAAGCCTAGTAATATGTGACTGCAGAGCAATTTGAGAGTTTGAATTTGTGTTTTTTTTTTAGATAAATGAATTGATTGATGCTCGAGACATGCATATGGGTGCTTGGTTTGAAGCTGTTGTCGTTAATGTGACACAGGATGAGAGTGCAACTAAAACCAGTAATGAAGAGTCTGCACATTCAAGCAAAGCTACAGAATCAAAGATTGCTGCTGAAGATGTGATTTATCACATTAAATATGAAGAGTACGTTAAAATGACTAAATAAAGGGAACACTATTTTCATTTCCTCTATTGCTTTTTTCATAAGTGCTGGGAGTAGGACAGCACTCTCCAATTTCTCCACCTACTTTTCTGACTCTGATTTGTATTTCCTATCTGGTGAATTTATAAATTAGATTTCATGTGAGCTATTAAAAATAATGGAAATAGTAGCATGGGTGGACTTTGAGGCTGAGGTGGGTTTGGAGGTAGGAGATAATTAATCGGGCAATGGATGCTGGGTAGGGATGCCAGTAACTTTCAGTTTCTGCTCTATATAAATCTGTGACAAGATGGCTTCTGGACAGCCTTTGCACCCTGCTGATTCTTGAGGACCTTAATCAGGCAATTAATATCTCCACAGTTGGCTTTAAGCCAGTAGCAGACAGGTTAATTGTCATTTGGGAAGCTTGAAAAGCAAACTCTGTCAGAGCTGCTTGATGGCTGCTGGAAACAGATCTGTGTCCCTTGTTCATAGAATCCCTACAATACAAACAGAGACCATTCACTCTTGAGTCTGCACCGACCCTCTGAAGAGCAACCCCCCAGACCTGCTTCCCCCCTCTTAGCCCGTAACCCCACGTTTACTACATTATCCACCTAATCTGCTCATCTTTTGACTGTGGAAGGAAACCCAGACAGACACGGTGACAATGTGCAAACTCCACACGGATCGTCACCCGAGGCTGGAATCTAATCTGGATCCCTCATACTGAGGCAGCACTGCTAATCACTGTGCTGCCCTTGTGCCACTGCCACTAGCAGCATCTGTGCTTCTTAATTGGAATGGCTTGGGAAGTGGCGGGACTAGGCTGGTGACAGTTATCTGACACTTTTCTTTCTGACTACCCCCGAAAAATACAAATAAAAAGTCCTGCCATTGCTTACCTGTAGTTGCATGTATTGATGGCAGATGCCACTTCTCCTAGTGGTGCTCCCTGCAACAGAGAGCTACTGCCCTTTGGCTGGCAGTTTTAGGGGATAGATTTTTCACCCCCATATCACCCTTAATCCTCAGAAAGCTCACTGCTGACCACTAAAAGCCTGGGTGGCAATTACTAATGTTGGGCCTTCTCTGAAGGAACTGGCACAAGGCTCTTTCTGCTCCCCAGCTAACAGGTGAAATCCCTACTGTCTGCATTAAATGCTACCTAATTTGTTCATCTATGATAATACCAATCTTATTTTTGTCTTGAACATTGAGCATTATCTTCAAGAGTTAAGGTTGAAGCAAAATGTCATTAATATTTTTGCTATACTCTACGTGGTTATATATAACAATGTAAAATAAAAATTGTGAAGCTAAACTTATTTATTTAAATCTGTGAAGTTACCCAGAAAATGGAATTGTGCAGCTGCGATCGAAAGATATTCGACCGCGAGCGAGGGTGGTCTTGCAGTGGCACCAGCTTCATGTTGGACATGTGGTGATGGTGAACTACAACCCAGATGAGCCTAAAGAGCGAGGATACTGGTATGATGCAGAAATTCTGCGGAAGAGGGAAACCAGGACTACAAAAGAGATCTATGCAAAAATTCTTCTGGGGTAAGGATCTGAATATTTTATTGTAAATGTTGGACTTTTGTTTCAGCAGTATTCATATTAAGCTGCTGATGAATTATGAATTATGAATTATTTGGCTTTTTAAAATGGGGCGATTGTCTTACTTAGAGTCTGATTTGAACAGATTTTCTGGTGTATTTAGAAGTGTTGGAGGCTTCAACAAATGTATTACACACAAACATTGGGAAGTTCAACACCTTTGCCTTTACTTTGCAAACTCCATGCCTTTGCCCATGTTCATTCAACATTTTCTTTTTCGGAATAGTCTATTGTGAAAATATTTTAAAACTCATGTTCGTCTGTTTCACAAAGCAGACAAAATAACAGTTACTGAGCTAGTCAGTGAATTATTGGATGGTCTTCATGAAAGACGAATTGGGATTGCCATCTATGTTGGGCTGTTTTGTTTGAGCTTTAAATCCTACAATATGTTCCATTAGGTGGTACACACTTGCAAATCTGTAATCCGTTTCGTCTATACCACCACAGACGCAGCATACCCTTTTTTATAAACCACTGTCCATTCTCATGTGCCATGAGGAACATCATTAAATATTTGTAAATGTTGACTAGAATACTTATGATTTGCCACAATGTTTGCAGAAAAACGGTTGCATTGTTGTAATGTTAATGTCAAAGTTTTATTTCTCCCATTGATGTATCCAATGGATGTATGCTGGAATCGAGCTGACAGCACGTAGTAGCCAGACGTATTGTCTTTTGCAATATAAAAATCGAAAGAACGGCGGATGCTGTAAATCAGGAACAAAAGTTGTTGATATTGTCTTTTGCTGTTTCGTGTACATAATCATTTTTGATTTTTGACATAGGGATGCTGGTGATTCTTTGAATGATTGTAGGATCTCACTGGTGGATGAAGTCTACAAGATTGAGGAGCCAGGAAGTAATGGAATCAATGGATCTGAAAGTCCTGTGAAAAGTAAGTTTGCTGAGGATTGTTGGCATGTCATATACTTGTTCTTGAACTGAGTAGAAGAATGGGTATTCTTCTCACATATCTTAATTTGGATTTGGTATCAGAGTTTATATAGGAGAAAGTTTGTTGATTTGGTTTATTAAGTAAAAACTTGGATCTAAGAAAAAGCACAAATGAATCATGTTTGTTGAGCTGTTGGAGATCAATGTCACTTTTTAAAAAAAGACAAAAGTTTCACATTTCCTGTTTGTAGAAATCATCTTTTTAACGTATAGTATACATACATCTGCATTTTGTGTTTGAAGATTTACTCTCATGCTATTGAAATTACTCTTAGTCAATAGTAGTTGACAGTTAATACTGTCAAACTACAAATTCCAGATTGAATAGGGACGACAAGTTCATGAACATGAAACAGCTCGATTTCCGTGAAAACCTAAATTTTATTTTTGTGTGTGTGTGGTGCTGACCTAAATTGCTACTTTTAAAAATTCCTTTTCACATTTTACTATGGTGGCATTTGAATTTGAGTTTTGAATTTCCAGTCCTGAACGCATCTGGATGGGTACAGGAATAGGAAGGGTTTAGAGGGATATGGACGAAATGCTGGCAAATGGGAATAGATTAATTTAGGATATCTGGTCAGCATGGACGAGTTGGGCTGAAGGGTCTGTTTCCATGATGTACACCTCTATGACGATTGCCCCGCCCCTAATTGATATAGATGATGGGATGTATTAAATCTTCAGCATGTAAGTGGGTCCTTTGATTGAAACGATAACTTATTTTGTTCAATTTACTTGTTTCGTTTAGTGAATATTAGGCTTTCTTTCTGTACTGAGACCACATGTCCTTGTTACTCCAAGCAGCCATGTAATATAATAGCTTTCTGAACTGAGCTGACTGCCTTTATGGAGTTAGGCATGAGGAAAACATACAATGTGGGTTTCCGCTGGGTGCTCTGGTTTCCTCCCATAGTCCAAGAATGTGCACGCTAGGTGGATTGGCCATACTAAATATGGGGTTACGAGGATTGGTGGGGTGGGTCTCGGTGGAATGGTCTTCGGAAAGTTGGTGCAGACTCGATGGGCTGAATGGAATCTATCTGCACTGTTGGGATTCTATGATTCTGAATTCTTTTAGTAGGATACTGGTTAATGTGTACTATTGTGCACAGTGAATTGCCTATCCCTGTCAAAGTACCAAGTGTAGGCCAGCTTTTATACCTCTTAAGGAAGTGCAGTTTGCACTTGAACTCTATTATTATTATATAGTTGAGGACATTCCGGAAGGTCAAGCAGATGGAACATTTAATGGATGCCTATTGTACTTTGCCGACTTTCCTTCCCAAGTAACTTTAGAGGTGTATAGAATCTCATTACTGCATATTAGATTACACTTCTTTTGTGTTTTTATACTTTTTTTGCCTGTAGGGCAAAATGGACCTGAGTGCAAGCATTGCAAAGATAACCCTAACAAGGACTGCAAACAATGTGCCTGTCACATATGTGGTGGGAAGGGTGACCCAGAGAAGCAACTGTTGTGTGATGAGTGTGATATGGCCTATCATACCTACTGCCTCAATCCTCCTCTCGCTAGTATTCCAGAAGTTGAAGACTGGTATGTTGGCCTCAGCTCTTGCATTAGTTTTGCTTTGGTTGAGGAAAGAAAAGAACATGAGTAAAGTTTGAACCTTTTCTAGTGTGTTGAATAAGCTTTAATGCTCCTTGCATTGTTAGTTCCTCAGGTAGCTCACAACTCAGTGAAAATATGTGGGGGAGCATGCTGATAATTTGTTTTATTAGCCTGGACCTTTTGCTTGCAGTAGAGACGTGTGTCTGATTTATGTCTGAACATGATTATAAAACCATCTTGTCTTTGAGAACAGTTTCCTACCTGTGGGAATGGCAATTGAGAAGCAGTTCTGACGCAACCCCTTAAATAATATTTCTGCTATAACTGGAGAGCTGCATTTATCTATGCTCAACCACATAAGATTTTAGACTAGAGCCGAAGTGCTTCGTAGGGTGTAGTCACAGTTTTGTAAACAAATTTGATGCCAATTTATACATTACAAAAGTTCCATTATCAGTTCTCCCAAGGGTACACATTTGTAGACATTTTTCTCATTGTAAGCATTAGGAGCTCGTGTCACCATGATCAAGACTGTTGATCAGTCACCCCTTCCATGTCCTGTCCTACCCTCCCATTTGCTGTTCTGGCCAAACTTTCCTTAAAGCTGCCTTGCCCCAGCTTAGAAACCACATCTTTCTCTAGTTTACTTTCTATCTGTTCTCATACAATCGCGTGGCCCATCTTGCCTAAGAGACCCATCGCCTGCACCATCAATCCCACAACTGCTAACCACCAACTTCCCTTCCAGGTCCAGATATTATTAGTGGTTCTCTCCCTTCAGGTATTGTTGGTCACTCATTTAAATCTGCCATCCTTGCTCCTTTACTGATGAGACCAACTCTCCCACCATCCTTAATATCTTTTTTCTTTTCTAAACGCCTTGAACGTGTTGCTGGCTACTGTCAAATCTGTGCGCATATTTCCCTGAACTCAATAATTGAATCCTTCGTTCACGCCTTCACCTTCATTCATGCCTTTTCACCTCCACACTTGATTATTGCGATACACTGCTGTTTGGTTCCCATGTTCAATCTTCCTTTTAAACTCTGCTGCCCACTACTTAGGTTTAGTTCAAGCTATCACCCTTCTGCTCCATTTCAAGCACTATATCAACTTTAAAATTCTCTTCCTTGTTTTTAATTCTCTTCATGACCTTTACTTTACCACCCCATCTTTGTAATGTCGTACAGCCACCCCAGTCCTTAAATATCTGTGCTTGTCTTAATTCTAGCTGCTCCCATTTTTCATTGCTACAATATTAGTGCCTGTATCTTAAGCTACCTCGACCCTACGTTCTAGGAACACCTCTCTACATCTTTCCTCCTTTGACACTGGCCTAGCGGTATTATTGCTGGACTGTTAATCCAGAGACTCAGATAATGATTTGGGGACCCAGGTTCAAATCCCATGCAAGATGGTGGAATTTGAATTCAATAAAAATCTGGAGTTAAGTGTCTAATGATGACCATGGATCCATTGTCAACTGTCTGAAAAACCCGTCTGGTTCACTAATGTCCTTTAGAGAAGGAAACTGCCGCCCTTGTCTGGTCTACATGTGACTCTAGACCCACTGCTGTGTGGATGTCTCTTAACTACCCTCTGGGATGGGCAATCAATGCTGGCCTAGTCAGTGATGTGCTCATCGTGTGAATTTTAAAAGAAACCCTCTTAAAACCCACATCTTTGGCTGTTTCTTTTCCTTTGGTATAGCCTACTGGTCTATGGAAATTCCCCGGGCAATGGAACATGTCAATCAAAAAAAAAACATTTAATTGTGGTGTTCAAAGAATGCATATATACACTTCCTGCTGATGTTGAGGATTTTAGCCCATTGAAAGCTAATTGTCTTTTTTGCCATGTTTGTGGAGCAGATTGTAACTAACCTTGTTAGGCAATTCATAATGTATGTCTGATCACAGGTATTGCCCTCTGTGCAAGAATGATGCTAATGAAGTGGTGCTAGCTGGTGAGAAGTTGAAAGAGAGCAAAAAGAAGGCTAAGATGGCTTCTGCTAACTCTGCCTGCCAGAGAGACTGGGGCAAGGTGAGTAAAATTTAAAGTGAGGTGTGATAGTGCCAGAAGTTTGAAGCAACTATATTTCAAACGGAGGTTGAAGTTTTAATGAAGGCAGAAATGAAAGAAAAGGAAAGATTTACTTTGAATAACACAATCATTTTTCATTTCTGAAACTGCGAATTTCTCCAGGATCAAGTGATTTTAAGTGATCACTTAACCTTAAAATACCTGAAGTTGATAATGCTTCTGTTTAGCCTTTATAGTAAAACTTAAAAGTGTGAGCAGCATTAATACCCATAATAGTGATACACATAGTTATGATTATTATCTTGATTTTCTGTTGTTGTGTTTCACCTTCATGTACACCCAACAATAAATCTGCAATCAGGGCCTTGCTATGCATTTATAGCCTTTTTATGCAACTAATTAATATGGTTTATTTCAGGGAATGGCCTGTGTAGGCCGCACAAAAGAATGTACAATTGTTCCTTCTAACCACTATGGGCCTATTCCTGGTGTTCCAGTCGGCACTCAATGGAAATTCAGAGTCCAGGTATGCTTGCTTTCTGGCTGAGGTTTTGGATAGATGAAGTAAGCTGGAAATTTTGCATTAAAGCATATTTTAGTCAATCTATTTGGCTTCAGTCAATTTATTTCTACAGCTCTACTTTATGTAAATCAAAAGATAAAGGTTAAAAGTGTGAACAATTACTGAGAGTGGCAGTTGTTTATACCATTGTGGAGAGATCATTGACAATCTTGTTATTCAATTTCAAATTTGCATTAAATTAGGGGTGATAAATTCTGTGATATGTGCCTTTTTAAAAAAATGTTCATGGGATGTGAGTATCACTGGCTATTTATTGGTCTTTTCTAACCACCCAGAGGGCATTTGAGAGCCAACCAAATTGCTGTGGATCTGGAGTCATATGTTGGCCAGATGTCACATGTAAGGACAGCAGCTTCCTTCCCTAAAGGATATCAACGGACCAGATTTTTTTTTCTAAAAAATGGTCTCACTGTCATCATTTGATGCTTAATTCAAGTATTTTTTAATTGAGTTCAAATTCGACCATCTGCCATAGTGGAATTTGAACCTGGGTCCCTGTAATGTTATTGGCTTTCTGATTAATAATCTAGCAATAATGTAACTAGGCCATCAGCTCTGATACCTCGGTATGCACTTGATCTCTAAAGATCTAAAATGGGTTAACTAAAGTCAACCTGAGGAGAGAGGAAGATCACTTGGGATTTTATATCTACGTTGCTATTCAGAAATCTCTACAGACGTCCTTGAATGTACATACTGCACTGGAATAGGATTGGAGCTCCGTTCTTAGCCCAACTAGCTCTTTCCAGCAGTCAAAAAGCGTACCATGACAAACTGTGATTAGCACACACCTTTGTGCAGTGATCTCAAGGTGGGTGTAAAAATAATGATACCTGAAATGATTTCTATTCTGCTTGGACTACACCACTGCAGACATGAAGGACTAGATTATTTCCTTTTGTTCTAAATTTTCTCTTGATATCTGAATCTGTTTCACAATCCAAACCTGCATGAATGACACTGAAGTAGAATTAGATTTTATTGTCATGTGTACTCAAATATAGGAGTACATTAATATAGTGAAAAGAGTACAAGGTCACTATTCTCTGGCACCACATTGGTTACAAAAGCAGAAATTAAAAAAAATAACAACAAAAATAAAAGAAAGCCAAAAGGTAAGGAAAATGGCCAGGCCTTAAAAGTCTGAGTCGTTTTTCCATAATGAGTGGGCAAAGAAGTGGCAAATGGAAAACAATGGCAACAAGTGTGAGGTTATGCACTTTGGCTAGAAGAATACAGGTGCAGACTGTTTCTAAATGGGAAAAGGATTTGGTAATACAAAGTACAAAGAGGTTTAGGATAGGAGTCCTAGTTCAAGATTCTCTTGGGGAAGGCAAGGGCGTAGTGGTATTATCACTGGACTATTAATCCACAAACTCAGCTAATGTTTTGAGGACCTGGGTTCAAATCCCACCATGGCTGATGGTAGAATTTGAATCCAATAAAGAATTCCAGAGTTAAGAGTCTAATGATGACCATGAAGCCATTGTTGATTTTGTGTTTTTTCAGAAAAACCCATCTGGTTCATTAATGCCCTGTAGGGAAGGAAATATGTTAGGCTTACCTGGTCTGGCCTACATGTGACTCCAGCCCGGCAATGTGGTCGAGCCTTAACTGCCCTCTGGGCCATAAATGCTGGCCTGGCCAGAGGCACCCACCTCATGTGAGTCAATTTTAAAAAAAAAGTTGGCAGTTAGGAAGGCAAATGCAATGTTAGCATTCATTTCAAGAGCAGAGATTTACAGTGAGGCAACCATGGCTGACTAAGAAAGTCAGGGATAGCATAAAAGCAAAAGAGAAAGCATATAATGTGGCGAAGGGCAGTGAGAAACCAGAGGACTGGGAAGCTTACAAAGACCAACAAAAGGCACCAAAAAAAGAAGTAAGGAGGGAGAAGATTAAATGTGAGGGTAAGATAGCCAGTAATATAAATGAAGACTGTAAGAGTTTCTTTAGGTATATAAAGGGCAAAAAAGAGGCAAAAGTGGACATTGGACCACTGGAAAATGACGGTGGAGAGATAATAGGGAGAAACAAGGAAACGGTGGAAGACACGAGTAATATCCCAAAAATTCAAAGAAAGTCAGGGGACAGAGCTGAGTATGGTGGCCATCACCAAGGAAAAGGTGTGAGTAAAACTGATTGTCCTGAAGGTGGACAAATCACCCAGACCACATGGACTACTCCCCAGAGTTCTAAAGGAGACAGCTAAAAAGATAGTGGAAGCGTTTAGTGGTGATCTTTCAAGAATCGCTAGAGTCACGAAGGGTCCCAGATGACTGGAACATCGCTAATGTGACACCCCTGTTTAAAAAGGGAGTCAGGCAAAAGACGGAAAATTACAAGCAGATTAGCCTAACCTCGGTCGTGGGTAAGATTTTGGAGTCCATTGTAAAGGATGAGATTTCTGAATATTTGGAAGTGTATCGTAAAACAGGGCAAAGTCAGCCTGGTTTCATTAAGGGGAGGTCATGCCTGACAAATCTGCTAGAATTCTTTGAGGAAGTAATGAGCAGGGTAGACCAAGGAGAGCCAATGGATGTTATCTACCTGGACTTCAAGAAGGCCTTTGACAAGGTGCCTCACAGGAGGCTGCTGCGTAAGATAAGGGCCTGTGGTGTTAAAAGCAAGATGCTAGCATGGATAGAAGATTGGCTGTCTGGCAGAAAACAGAGAAAACGCATAAAGGGGTCTTTCTTAGGATGTCAGCCAGTGACAAGTGGTGTTCCGCAAGGGTCAGTGCTGGGACCACAACTTTTCACTTTATACATTAATGATCTAGATGAAGGAACTGTGGGCAGTTTGCAGATGATACAAAGATAGGTGGAGGGACAGGTAGTATAGAACATAGAACATTATAGCGCAGTACAGGCTCTTCGGCCCTCGATGTTGCGCCGACCTGTGAAACCAATCTGAAGCCCATCTAACCTAAACTATTCCATTATCATCCATATGTTTATCCAATGACCATTTAAATGCCCTTAAAGTTGGCGAGTCTACTACTTTTGCAGGCAGGGCATTCCACGCCCTTACTACTCCCTGAGTAAAGAACCTACCTCTGACATCTGTCCTATATCTATCACCCCTCAATTTAAAGCTATGTCCCCTCATGCTAGCCATCACCATTCGAGGAAAAAGGCTCCCACTGTCCACCCTATCTAATCCTCTGATCATCTTGTATGTCTCTATTAAGTCACCTCTTAACCTTCTTCTCTCTAATGAAAACAGCCTCAAGTCACTCAGCCTTTCCTCATAAGACCTTCCCTCCATACCAGGCAACATCCTGGTAAATCTCCTCTGCACCCTTTCCAATGCTTCCACATCCTTCCTATAATGTGGTGACCAGAACTGTACGCAATACTCCAAGTGCGGCCGCACCAGAGTTTTGTACAGCTGCAACATGACCTCATGGCTCCGAAACTCAATCCCTCTACCTATAAAACCTAACACACTGTACGCCTTCTTAACAACGCTATCAACCTGGGTGGCAACTTTCACTGATCTATGCACATGGATACCGAGATCTCTCTGCTCATCCACACTACCATGAATCTTACCATTAGTCCAGTACTCTGTATTCCTGTTACTCCTTCCAAAGTGAACCACCTCACACTTTTCCACATTAAACTCCATTTGCCACCTCTCAGCCCAGCTCTGCAGCTTATCTATGTCCCTCTGTAACCTGCAACATCCTTCCGCACTATCCACAACTCCACCGACTTTGGTGTCATCCACAAATTTACTAACCCATCCTTCTACGCCCTCATCCAGGTCATTTATAAAAATGACAAACAGCAGTGGCCCCAAAACAGATCCTTGAGGTACACCACTAGTAACTGAACTCCAGGATGAACATTTCCCATCAACCACCATCCTCTGTCTTCTTACAGCTAGCCAACTTCTGATCCAAACCGCTAAATCATCCTCAATCCCATGCCTCTGTATTTTCTGCAATAGCCTACCATGGGGAACCTTATCAAACGCTTTACTGAAATCCAGATACACCACATCAACCGCTTTATCCTCATCCACCTGTTTGGTCACCTTCTCAAAGAACTCAATAAGGTTTGTGAGGCACGACCTATCCTTCACAATAGAGGAGGTGGGGAGGCTGCAGAAGGACTTGGACAGGTTAGGAGAGTGGGCAAAGAAGTGGCAGATGGAGTACAACGTGGCAAAGTGTGAGGTCATGCAGTTTGGTAAGAAGAATAAAAGCATGGACTATTTTCTAAATTGGGAGAAAATTCAGAAGTCTGAAGTGCGAAGAGACTTGGGAGTTCTAGTCCAGGATTCTCTCAAGGTGAACTTGCAGGTTGAGTCAGTAGTCAGGTAGGCAAATGCAGTGTTGGCATTTATTTTGAGAGGACTTGAATGTAAAAGCAGGGATGTACTACTGAGGCTTTATAAGGCCCTGGTCAGGCCACATTTGGAGTATTGTGTGCAGTTTTGGGCCCCATATCTCAGGAAGGAAGGACTGGCCCTGGAGCGGGTTCAGAGAAGGTTCACGAGAATGGTCCTCGGAATGAAAAGCTTAACATGTGAGGAACGTTTGAGGACTCTGGGACTATACTCATTGGAGTTTAGAAGGATGAGGGGCGGATTTAATTGAAACTTTCAGAATACTGAAGGGCCTGGACAAAGTGGATGTTGGGAAGCTGCTTCCATTGATAGGAGAGTCTAGGACCCAAGGGCAGAGGCTTAGAGTAAAGGGAAGACCTTTGAGAACAGAGATAAGGAGAAACTTCTTCAGCCAGAGGGTGGTGAATCTATGGAATTCACTGCCACAGAAAACTGTGGAGGTCAGGTCATTGAGTACATTTAAGACTGAGATAGATAGGTTCTTGATTATCAAGGGGATCAAGGGTTACGGGGAGAAAGCGGGCGAATGGTGTTGAGGAACTGATCAGCCATGATTGAATGGTGGAGCAGATTCAATAGGCCAAATGGCGTAATTTCTGCTCCTATGTCTTATGGTCTTAAGGTCTTATACGACTCTAGTCAGAGCACATTTATAACATTGTGATCAGTTTCGTGCCCTATATCTAAGAAAGGATGTATTGGCCTTGGATGGAGTCTGAGGGAGGTATACAAGAATGTTTCTGGAGATAAAGGGCTTCTCATATGAGAAATATTTCAGAACTCTGGGTCTGCACTTGATATAATTTGGAAGGATGACGAGGGATCTGATTGAAACTTAGAGAATACTGCGAGGCCTGGATAGAGTGAATGAGGAGAAGATGTTTCCATTAGTAGGAGAGACTAGGACCGAAGGACAGAGCCTCAGCGTGAAGGGACGACCCTTTTGAACTGAGATGAGGAGAAATCTCTTCAGCTGCAGTGTGGTTAATATGTGATACTAATTGCCATAGGAGGCTGTGGAGGCCAAGTTGTTTAAAGTATTTAAGGTAAAGATAAATAGATAGATATATAGGTTCTTGATTAGTAAAGGGATCAAAGATTATGGGGCAAAGGCACGAGAATGGGGTTGAGAAACATATCAGCCATGATCAAATGTCTAGTCAATGCAAGAAAATGCTTCATTTAGTTGGTTTAGCTATATTCTCTTATCCTAATGTGTTGTATGAACTGATATAAGAATTAAACTTAGGGTTCTGCAGTATGTAAAGAATACAATTTTAACAGGACTTCTCAGCAGAGACTGGCCCTCCTGTGCTTCAGAATGGTTTTAGTAAAGCCCAGTTGCGGATTGCTAGCCCACCTGCCCTCTTGGCAGACTTGCTGTGTTATATTGTGTAATTGTGGGGAAGGAAATTGGATAAGCTTGTTTTGTTTTATTGCTTGCACTATAATGTATCTTGTTATGATCTTTTCACTCGTTTTCTTAATTTTGAAGGTGAGTGAATCTGGTGTTCACAGGCCGCATGTGGCAGGAATTCATGGCCGAAGTAATGATGGAGCATATTCCCTTGTGCTTGCCGGTGGCTATGAAGATGATGTGGTGAGTGAAATGAATTATTGTTTAGGCTAGAGATCTGAATTTTTTTTTTTTCCAAATTGTGCATATATTCTTCTGGCAAAATGTGCACCAGGAATCTTGGGAATGGCAAATGGCCATTTGGTCAGATGTGCGTTCACTGACTCCTTGGTGTTCCCAGCGGTTGGAAGCCTGAGCATTTGCATTTGTCCAACTGATTTGGGGTTCTTTCAGCTTGTTTGGCAAGTTTGAGTACTGCAGGCTGGGTGAACTAAGTAGCTGTGACACCATTGTGCAAGTAACCATTTAGTGGGGTGGGGCTAGTGTCGTTATTTCAATTAAAAAGAATGTAGTGGTAAAAGGGGATGGTATAGTGAGGGTGATTGACACTTTTTTATACCAAAGAGCAAGAGTTCAGAAGTCAGTGTTGCCTGTCTGCCAGAGTTCTGGCTGTCTGCTCAGGGTTGGAGAGGACCATACAGTGGGAGAGGTAGGATCTTGTCATCATAGTCCATGTGGTACCATTGACATAGGCAGTACCAGGAAAGATATACTATATAGCAAGCATGAGTAGCTAGGCAGTAAAAACTAAAACCATACCATGTGCAAATTAGCATAGACCGAACCAGATAAAAAAAAAATTAGTATGTGTCTCAAAGACTGATGCGGTAGATGTCACTTTCGGTTGTCGGCCACTGCCACTGGTACAATGAAAAGTAGATCTGTACTGTTGGGATGGACTACATCTAAACTGTGCTCGGGTAAGTGTATTGGCAAGCCACATAACTAAAAGTATTGGGCTTGAAACTGAATAGTGGGTTCAAGGAATGAAATTTAGTAAGATAGATGGTAAATCAAAGAATAGAGATGTAGTTAACGGGAAATAATAAATTGACCTACCGGGATAGAAAGTGGTGGCAGGTTGTTGTAGGGCACTTTTGTCGATGGTACAGTACACATATCTGCCATTGTGGTGCAGTAATATTATAAGTAATAAAAGTTTACAGTTTTGGACTGATGATTATGTGGGCTGCTTTGTTTTGGTGGGGTGTTTGAGTGTCCTTTATTTTGAGGGCTGTTGGAGCTGCTCTCATTCAGGCAAGTAGGGAATATTCCACCGCTCTCTTACTTGTGCTTTGTAAAATGATGCACAAGCTTTAAGGAATTATAAGAAGTTATAGAATTCCTACAGTGCAGAAAGAGGCCATTTGGCCCATTTTAGTCTGCACTAATCCTCTGAAGAGCATCCCACCCAGACCCAACCCTCTAGCCCATGGTTTTTACCATGGCTAACCCACCTAACCTACACATCACTTGACACTACAGGGCAACTTTTAGCATGGCCAATCCACACATTGGCCTGCACATCTTCAGACTGTGGGAGGAAACCAGAGCATGCAGAGGAAACCTGCGCAGAGATAGGGAGAACGTGCAAACTCCTCACAGATAGTTGCCGAAGGCTGTAATTAAACCTGGGTCCCTGGCGCTGTGAGGCAGCAGTGCTAAGCCACTGTGTCACCCACAATATCTGCTGGAGATTTCCCAGCCTCTGATCATCGATTGTAATCATGACAGTTATATGGCTGGTCCAGTTATGTTTCTGGTCACTGGTGACCCCCACCCTGTTCATGATGATGATAATGATGATTCAGTGATGGTAATTCCATTGACTTTGTTGCATCTGCTTTGTTTTGCATCTCTGCAGTGCTATCTTTGGACAGACAGTTGCTTCTGTCAGTTAAAAGTGATGCAGTTTTCTGTATGCTTTGAGTCAGCTAGAGTTGATGTGTGTAGGAAACTAAGCCAGAGAGTCAGTGGTAAAATAAAGAAAGATAATAGAGTAAGCATTCTTTTGAGAGAAAGCCCTTCCGTTGTAAACTTTGGGACCTGTTTAAACTCCCTGTCAATGCATATTGGCAATTTCTTAATTCAGCTAACTGCATAATTGTTTGAGACTTGATTCTGCTGTACTGATTTCTGGAAATTGAATCCAATATTGTGACTTAGCTTGTCTGCAAAGTATACATTAGTTGGTTTTACCCAAAGACAGACCAAACTATTGTTTTGTATGTTGTACATAAGCAATTGCATCATCTAAACATAATGATTATCAAACTGCAATGCATTATGGGCAGAACATTGTGAAAACTTTTATAAAGTGTTTAACTGCTATTACTGCCACTAGCCATTAACTTGCTGTATATAGCAGTATTTATTTTTTGATCAATTTTGAATTATTTCCTCAGCTTTGGAGTCTTCAAATATTACTTTAAGAGATAATAGCTACTCAATAACAAAAATGTAATTTTGGCATAAATCTCAGCAGACCAGCTTTGCATTGAGAGTTGGGGGTGGTTTAAGAGATGGATATTGAATTTCAATTGAAGGTACAGTCAGTCTGATAAGTCAAATTCAGATAACCGAAAACTGGTTGTAGCGAAGTTTTAAACTGTTCCTGTCAGGAAAATAGGAAATTCAATAGAAGGTAATCAGTGATTCGTCAAAGTTCTAGATGGCAACTGGAGGTTAGCCAAACACATGCACTTGTGATTTGTCAGCACCAGCTACTCACAACAAAAATGAGCCAAGTTAGAGTGAACTTGCAAGATGGCGTATTCCGGTGAGGAAGTAAAAGATGCTGTTAATTACACTGAGAAGGTCTTACGACAAATGGAAAATGGTACTGCAAAGTATAACATGGAGATCACAAAGAAATGGAAGATTCCATCTTAGCGTCTTGTCAACTACTCTGAAGAATAATGCAAACATTTTAGAACTGTTTGACAAATTGGCATTCTCTCTAGCAAGGAAGATGCTGAGAATGATTGCCTATTCTGCCATTTAACAAGCTCTGCTAAAGTGGTTTGCTGTAGCTCAACTAGTGAATTTTCCCATCCCTAAAACAGTTCTACAGGAAAGGGGTGTTACTGCATAGGGAAAAAAATGGGCCACGATGAATTTTCTTGCGAAGGATTCCTGGACCTACCTATCAAGATGAGGCAAGGCATTGTCTTCCTTGCAGACAGTGACAACTAGAAGGAGCAGGCTGACACCAACTAATCAGATGACTGGGCTCTTTCTGCTTACCTGGGGGAGGCTGGCAGGGAAATTCTTGTAAATTCTCCCAAAATTCAACTGATTGTGATTTGACAGTAGTGGATATGCAGGCCCTGTATGGGAGCTGATTACAGTGACTTTTTTGTTGTCATTTGAACCTGTAGAAACTGGCAAATACATTTAGTAAACAAATACATTCAGCAAACTCAGAACTTTGCTGAAAAGGTGGAGATGACTGTTGAACCTTTTCTTTCACAGGATCATGGCAGTGACTTCACCTATACAGGAAGTGGTGGACGTGACCTTTCTGGAAACAAACGTACAGCAGAACAATCATGTGATCAGAAACTGACCAATATGAACAGGTTGGCCCTTTTTTTATAATGTCTCTCTAATGAGTTTTAATTTTGCCATTGTTTAATAAAGAAAATGTTGAACAGCACTTTTTTTGTTATGTATTTGTGCACTTATGGTGCTGGTTTGCTGATAGTTGATATTAAAACAAAAAGCCCAGATTTTAGTCTCATTCTGGTGAATGGGTTGGACTATCAATTTGATTTACATCATCATCTATACATAGGAGTTGATTCAGAGATAAATGCCTATTACTGGAGAACATGGTTTGCTCTCGTTTTAAATGATAAAAATACGTGAGTTTTTGATATTCAAGCCTTTTATTTTTCTCTTTCTTACAATACAATTTAGTTTAGTTCATGCCCTGATATCCACTTCCCACCCCAACTTCTCACGAATTGCAGATTGACTTATGAGAATGGGTAAAATATTGAATTTCCCCATCAAAAACTGTAAGCTCTTTTCCAAATATCTTATACATCCCAGAATACTACTAGACATGTATCTTGAAATTACACATTATGATTAAACACTGTCATGTGTGTGAATGTACCGTTTGCTTTAATAAATAATTGAGATAAACTTTTTCTTTTGAAGGGCTCTAGCTCTTAACTGTAACGCTCCCATTAATGATAAAGTGGGAGCCGATGCTAAAGATTGGAGAGCTGGAAAATCAGTAAGGGTTGTGAGAAGTGCCAAAGGCCGTAAACACAGCAAGTATGCACCAGAAGAAGGGAACCGTTATGATGGTATTTATAAGGTGTGTACCAGTTAACTGAAGATTTCAATTTGTGCATTTCCTTTATCTTTCAGAACCTGGAATTTTAATAACACTGATGCTAGTAATTTTGCTTTCATTTTTGTTGAGAATGGTAGTCATGGAAAAAGTTTTCTTGGATCAACGAGCTTAGTTCCTCTAGTCATTAGCACTAAGTCAAACAGATGTTTGTCACTGCATTTTAATTTTGAATTTTGCTTTTTGAAATTCATTTATCCCTAGGTAGGACTGTAGTATTAATCTATTAACACAAATAACTGACTTCTTGTCTGTTACGTCTAAATAATTTCTGGGTGGAAGTTGTAACCTATAACTGGTTTATATTATGTTACAATGAAGATCAGTCAATCAAAGGAATCAAATTTACTGAATGACATCAATGAAAAGCCAACAGATAACATTTCATCACTTGATAACCTTCAAAATAAAGTAAAATTAAACGTTCATTAACAAGCAATATTGTGGTAAATATAAATTGCACTAAATAGCTGATACAACAAAGATAGATCTCTCGAATTTCTTTTGAAGTACAAGCTTTGCTAATGTGTCACCAGTTTTATTCAGGGTGCTTCAGAACTGACTTTCCTTGTAATTGGCTAGTAACATTTGAGCTGACAAGTGCTAGGCAATGACCATCTTTATGGAGAGAAAATCTAACCATCTCCCGATGACAGTTAATAGCTTTAACATTACATCATTCTCCATTATTAAATACTGGGGGTTACCGTTGACCAGATGTCCAACTGAACTAACCATATAAATTTTGTAGCTGCAAGGGCGCAGCAGGAAAAAAGGACTAGGAATTCTGAATCAATTAACTCAACTCATGACTCCCCAAAGCTGCTCCATCATCTGGGAGGCACAAGTCAGGCGTGTGATGTGATGTTGTCCTCTTGTCTGGGTGAATGCAGCTGCAACACCACTCTGGAACATTTTTTCCCCCTATTTTTCTATTCAGCCTGTTCAGAGATGTTATTACACACTTCTGGAACAGGTTGGACTTGAACTTGGGTCTCCTGGTCCAGGGGTATGGACACTATCACTGAGTCACAAGGGGATCTTTTAGGAGACTGGAGCCTAAATCCATTACCTGAAATCCTGATGCCAACTAAGCAGTCCTTTCAATTGTCAATAATGTATCACCCTCAACAGTAACTTTCTTCACCACAGATGCACAGTGTTAGCATTGTATACTATTTGACAGATCACTCCGGCACCTCACCACGGTTCCTTTGACAAGACTTTTCAACCCACGACTTCTAATGTTTAGAAGGGCAAGAGCAGTAGACGTATGGGAATAAGTTTCTGTCTAAGTGGCACATCAATGCGATCTGGAAACATTTGCCATTCCATTGTCACTGGGGGTCAAAATCCTAGAACAGCACTGTGGGTGTACCCACCCTCATAAACTGCAGTTGTTTAAGAAGAAAGCTTGCTATCATCTCCTCAAGTACAATTAGGCTTTGGAAATAAATGCTGGCATAGTCAGTCTCCATGTTCTGTGAACAAATAAAATTTGCAGCATTCTTGTGCCTTTTCTTGGAGTGTTCAGTCACTGACTGTGGTATTGGCCCATAGTCTTAATGGTGATAGAAGTTAAATAAAGGGAAGACCATGTGAAGTGGCTTAGAAGCATTTTTCTTTAGTGGAGATCATAAAGTGCTATAATTCCTTTTCTTTCCGGCTTGCTTATCCTTGTATTTCTGAATTAGGTGGTGAAATACTGGCCTGAGAAGGGAAAATCTGGATTTTTGGTATGGAGGTACCTATTGAAAAGGGATGATGATGAACCAGCTCCGTGGACCAAAGATGGCAAGGAGAGGATGAAAAAGCTAGGTTTAACTATGCAGGTTATCCAAAATTTTTCACTTAGACAGCAAATTGTGACTTAGTTGTTTTAGTTGTGGAATGTGTTGCATTAATAAATCTTATCTGACAGTACCCCGAAGGTTACCTTGATTCAGTTGCCAATAAAGAGAAAGAGAAAGAGAATAAAAAGAGGGATGATGATCCTGAGCCAACACCGAACAAAAGGAAAAGAAAATCTGATGCAGGTTTGTAGCTTTGATTTTTAAAGTTGGAGAACTCCAAGCTGTGTTGCTGCATTTTCACTTGGCAAATATCCTACCGTTCGGCCTGGTGGAGCACTTCTGTCAGTATGTATCCATAAATTACTAACACAAATTTTGTTTTGCATAGATTCTGATCTTAATTAAGGTCTTCTTGACCATCCGTAGACCATGTGTAGTTAGGAATGGCTGTGCATATTTAAATAGCTGTTGTTCATATTCATTTAGCAAATCTTGCTAGAATGGGAGTACTGCATTGACGAAACCTTTTTCTAAAGTAGAGGTGGGGGACAGCTTCAATATTCAGTTTTGTATTTTTTTTTATGTAATATTAGAATGACACTTGAAATTGTCCACCTTGTCTTGGCACTTAAAAAAAATCACTCAGTTTTAAGTTCACACTTTATAAAAAGGCAATTCTCAGTTACTGATTTCACTGAGATTGCCTTGCTGGCTGCAGAAGATTTGTGACTTCAGATTGAGAACGACGAGAAGGAAAATGAGGAATTTGTATTTATTATGCAGTGCCCCTCATTGCATTTTCAAGATTTATTTTCCATTTAAGGGATAGTAAATGAAAGCTTACAGTAGTGTACTGAGTTTCTAATCCAGGTGCCTAAACTAATCATTTTGGCAGCATGTGTGGCAACTGTGACCACTTTGTTTTTTCATGAGCATGCATGTTTAGCATAAATGGTTGATTGTGCAGAAAAATATTCCAAAGTTAATACTTTTATATACCTCCATCCGTAATATTCTGGATGAGCATGCTGCATACACAAATGTGAAATTTGTCTCCTAGTGACATTCTGAATAGTATAGGGATTTCAAATCCATACTAACCCCCAGAGCAATAAAATTGTGAATTTAGAATGAAAATTAACAAGATTTTATTGCAAAATAAAGATTGATATTTAAACATTTCACTAGTCAAGGTATGCCAGGTTATACCTGTTAAACTATCTTTCCCATGGATTCTAGAACTTACAAACTCTTATTATCTAGGTTCCTTGAACAATCTCAATTCACCACATCCTTGGAATTTAATTTAGCCATCTCAACTCATTAACTACAACCTACATACAAATTCATTTGCAGTTTTAAGATTGCAATTCTGGTGTCCCTCTCTCCCCTTTTCTGCCAGGTCTGTACTGGATTGACTGATCTCTAATTGCATCTTGTGTTGGCTTCTTACTGCAACTCCTCAATGCAAGACAACTGACTGTCATTATTGCTATGCAAAAGCTAACTTCCTAGCAAGTGTTAAGATCTCCTAATTCTATGGATATATCCATCTCAGCAAGTGTCATGAGACAAAGCAGGTAGTTTTAAAATATTTAGCGCAATTTGTGTACCCTTGTCAACACAACAAGACTTTTAGTCAAATATTTATAACTCTTCACCTATTGGAAGAGTACTCCGTCTTCCGTAAACAATCTGACCCTAATTTGTATCTCCTCTAACAGGAGATCCTAAACACATCTGTTTCCCCAAAACTAGTCCCAAGGTCATTCTTATAGTCAATCAGATTTGCTGCATCTGCATCCGCTGTAATTACTAGATATTTTCTAATTAATATGTTCAGATGTTATCACACACCTCTGGAGCAGGTGGTACTTGAACTAAGGCCTCTTGGCTCAGAGGTAGGGATGCTATTGCTGTGCCACAACAGTCCATCCCTTCTAATTGCTCAATATTTTCCTAATCAACCTGCTCAGCGATGTTGTCACACACCGCTAGGGCAGGTGGAACTTGAACTCAGGCTTCTGAGTCAGAAGTAGAGATGCTACCATAAAGCCACAAAACCCCACCCTCCCAACTGCTAAATTTTAAAATTTAACGTATTTTTTTCTAATCAACCTGTTCAGATATGTTATTACACACCTGGAACAGGTGGAATTGAACCTGAGTCTTCTGGTCCAGGGCTCGGGACATAACTATTTGGCCACAAGTGGCCTTCTGACTGCTTTTTAAAATTTTAACTTATTTTTCTAATCAACTGTTCAGAGATGTTATTACGCTCCACTCGATCAGGTGGGACTTGAAGATGGGCCTTTTAGTTCAGGAGTAGGGACACTACAATTGTACCACAAGAGGGCCCTCTAACTGTTAAACTATAAACTTCTATCATTGACGTGTGTTCCTTGAATATCAGGCCCCATTGACCAATCATTATTTAGATTTTTTTCTTTAGCTAAGTTAGATGTGGTGGAGCCAAAATGTACAGATGTATCTATGCCTTCACTTCACTCCTGAAGGACACGTGTCTTTATTGAAGCTATATAACAGTATTTGATAGTTAAAAATATACCAGACTTCTCACCACCTTATTCACCTTATTAATTAGACAAGTATGCCAATGAGGTAAAATTTAACAGCGTGCAGGTAGTCACTCCAAGATCTGATTTTGTTTATACTTCAGAGACAAACTCACTAAGATGGGAAGTTTGCATTAATAGAATCCAAGCTGGATGGTGATATGGAAATAAAAGCACACAGACTTTCTTTGTGGAGAAAGTTATTGATCTCCTCTGTCTTGCAACTTTCATAACATCCCCAGCATCATTGCTGTTCCCTATTTATGTATGCTCAAAGTTAATTACTATCAACCCTGTTTCTCTTAGCCTTAACAATATTACCAAACCATATCAATGTGATTGACGAGACAGCAGTTGAATGTGAATAATCATGAGTATGAATTTGATTTACATCTTTCCTTGTGGAATGTTGAAATTGTAATGTGCCTTGTTGCTGTTATCGTTCTCCGTCTCAAATAGACTGGGTTTATTTCACAACCCCTCCCTAATTTCAGCATGATAGCAAATCAGTTGAAAACAATTTTCTTAGTTAATAAATTGCACATGCAGATTGATAAATCAGTAAGAGTGCCACAAGAATAAGTAATATGAATTTTGAGAAATGTTTTAGCAGTTGCAAGTTGATACCTACAAACAAAATTTATACAGGGTGGAATAATTATTGATCTAAGAGTTTGCAGTGAGGTTTATAGAATTTTTAGATTGAGAATTAACTTCCATGTTAGCATTGGATATTTAGGTGAAAAATTGCAAGTTACTCAAGTTGCTGAAACCCAACATATAAACAAAGAATAGGAACTCCAACATCTGTCACACCCCTGCATGTGAGTGCTCATGCCACCAAATGCTTTCTGGAAACATGACATATTTGGTGACATTTTTATTATCAAAATCTGTGTGATGTCTTATGGTCCAGTTCTTGTATTTTGATACCTATTTTGGGAAATGTTAATGCTTTTTCAGGTATGGACAGGTGTTCGTCAACCCCATCACCAAAAGGCACACCCAAAAAACTGAAGGTGGAAGCATTCAAGTTGACAGCGGAACAGAAAAAACTCATAAAAGATGATCAAGTTAACAAGAAAGTATGGGATGAAGCACTTCTGTCCCTTAAGGATGGTCCAGTAAGGATTGCTTTCTGCTTCAAATTTTGTATTATAAGATTGGAATTATGAGGCAAATTTTCCCTTGACCTGGGGTCTTTTGATTACTGAATTCTTATATTAAAGGTGCTTTCTAAAATTTTCTCGATGAAATAGTCCTAAGCAAGTATAATTGAATTTAGCGTTTCTAAATTGCACCAGGGGTCACATACATTTTAAGGAACTGTAAGTGAAAATACTGAACTATTGACTTGATAAACATATATTTGTGAGATGGTGTGGATATGATCTGTAAATATTCAGTGAATGTTGATCATTTGAAATTTGTTTTTTCCAGAAATTCCTATCAAAATTGGAGGAAGCATTCTTGTGCATTTGCTGCCAGGAAGTGGTATTCCAGCCAATTACAACAGACTGTCAACACAATGTCTGTAAAGTAAGTACTGTAACCATTAAATGAAGATCACTTAGCAAAACTAATTTTAGATAATTTTGACTACTGAATTGTATTTTAACTAGCAGAGACCCGCAAAACATTTGTGATCAGATTGGTATCTTTTATTGCAGCAGTGCTATTTTCAATTCAAAATTTATAGTTATTCATTCACAAAAGACCTTAATAAAATCAAAACTACTCACACTGGTGAAAGCTACATTAAGCTGTCTCAAGTAAAATATCAGACCCAGGAATTAAATGTAAGTTTGGTCAAGTATTTGGTCTTGTGACTATATGAAAGTTTAATTAGATACTGTTTTCCCTTGAATTGAAAAGACAGATTTTGCTATTGAATGCATCAGTATTATTTGAAGGATAAGTATTTATTTTCTTTTATTTTAGCATCTTAAACTGCTGATTTATAATTTTAGCATTTAAATGATTTCCCAATGACAAATTTTCATAGAGTCATGGAAGGGATAGATTTCAGCTTGGTCTTCTGCTTCCATCTAGTCCTAAACGCTGTCTTTTCCCAATAGTCTTGAAGTGCATTTTTTTGTTTCGTGAAATTTAAAAAAAAAAATCACTCATTGAATGTGGGTGTCATTGGTTAGTCCCCGGTTGCTCAGAGTGCATGTAAGAGCCAACATTGCTATGAGTCTGGATCAAATGTAAACCAGATCAGGTAAATCAGCCAGATGGCAGTTTCTTTCCCCAAAGGAAGTGAACCAGATTTTTTTTTTTTAATGACAATCCACATGGTTTCATGGTCATCATTAGACCCTTAATTCCATTTGCCATGGTGGTATGTGAACCCAGGTCCTCAGAACATTACCTAGGTCTCTGGATTAAAAGTCTAGGTGGCAGCTATTGTTCTGGCAACTATTGACAGTAACACATGCATCACTTGCTCCAGTCCTCCACATGCCCCAAGTGCTTTTATGTACATCAAGAATTACCCAGCAAATAAATTTATCAACAGACTCCCCCTTGAACAGACTGATTAAAGCAATCTAGATAACCAAAAGCTTGCGTGTAATAAATTTGCGTTCTGGAGACCTGAAACTTGCATGTATCCATATATTGCCTTGTCACAAGTGACATTCTGGTTATGGATTGCTTTTTGTGAAACCTATTTTCTAAAATTGGGGTGCTGGGAACAGTCTGGAAACATTGACTCAAGCATGACACCTCTACAAAATCAATTTGTGCAAATAGAAGTATTAGAATGTAAATGTATGAATAACTATGGTAAAAGAGTACAGTTGAGTAATACTGTGCAAGGAAGGCCCAAGTTTGATCCACAGGTTAATAGAAATTTGAAATCAAGATAGAATCACTGGGTAACAGAATAAAAGTGGGACAAGAAACTGCTGATGGCAGGTTTGCTTGTGTTATCCAGTTCAAACTCAGCAACCTCTCAACCTCCGACTTTTTTGGTTGTCTTATCAATCCTTCAGCATCTAGTAGCCGCTGAACATACATTTCTTGCTCTGTCTGGTATCTAAAAACATAGCTTCCCAGGTTGGTATCACAATTAGCTCTTGTGTTGTATTTTTAGGATTGAAATTGTCTTGCATCCAGCCCTCCTGACATTTTAAGTAAATCCTCTGGAATCTTAAAAGTGTATGAAATATGATCATTATGTGCTGTGAAAGGATTTCCTGTTAGAGTGCATTGGTGATCTGGTTGACAATGATATGCAAGTTTGTTTATGAATTATTACTTTTCCCTAGAGCTGCTTACAACGTTCCTTCAAGGCCGATGTGTACACCTGTCCTGCTTGCCGCTATGACATTGGCAAAAATTGCAACATGGCAGTGAACAAATGCCTGCAGACTCTTCTTACCCAACTATTTCCAGGATATGGTAATGGACGGTGATGCCTTTGTCTTCAGATTATTTCTTGCCTTTTTGTTGCTGATTTTGATTTTTTTTTTTAAAGAACATGGCTATTCTGGCCTGTGTAATTTGACTGGAGGAAAGATTGACGAATGAATCCAGGGTAACTGACTTTCTATTCTGCAATCTTTCTGTATAGCACATATGAACTTCAAAATCTTTGTGCTTTTTTTTTGTTTTTAGTCTAGGAGCTTGTCTAGATGTGCAGACCAATATTATTGGTGTAACAAAAAAAAACTTTTAAAAATTGCTACCTCAAAGTGGTGATAATTTTCTGGGATTTTCTTTGGCCAGTGTAGGTTCAGCTGAACACTGCCTATCTAGTCAGCCTTGATTCTCTTTGCTTAATAAGTTAAGCCATCACTTAAGTGCCTTAGTCCTCTTGAAGGCTGGGCTGTGATTGACTTCCTAGCACTGATTTTGTTTTAAACTGCAAATAGCACATTTGTTGACAAACTTAGTTGTGCAGGTCAAAATTATTTTAACAGGGAATATACAGGTTTTTTGCTGTTTTTTTTTATATAGAACAGTAACCTCTTATTTGTGGTCTTCATCACTTATTGATACTTATTGAACTGTTAATGGTCTTTTTTCCACCCTGGTTAACTGTGAAAAGCAATCCTTTATTAATTGAAATTTGTGAAAGGGGGATGTAACCTGGGCAAAAGAGGACCTGCAACGTATATGTTTGTACTTGTAAATTTATTTTTCATACAGGCACCCTCTTTCTCCAATGGCAATACCAAAGGATGCAGTATGGTACCTCAACATTGCATAGACATCATTGCATACATGATTTAGGCTTTTATGGAGTTAGACCATACATAATCTAATTTGTTAATTCTTTTTATAAAATGTTGTTTAAGGGTGCTAAATCAATACTAAAAGGCTGTGGAACCTTGTGAACTTCAACAGAATTTTTTTTCACTCGGTATATACTGTGTCTATATGCTGCCTTAAAATAAAGTTTCTTGCTTTTCAGTTATGGTTTTATTTGTGTGAATCTCTGAAGTGTCAGCTTTGTGGGTAGTAATATTAAATATCCTAGTCTGCATTGAAAATCGGATGAGTTTTGTGATCTTGACCTCTTTCTTTATTTTCCTGATTGTTACGGTTAATTTTGGATATTTAAGCTTTAATTATCCTTTTCTGACTCTGGATGAAGAATTTATATGGTATAAAAATGGCCTTTGCTTTGAGGCCATCCAGGAGGACATGTTGTCTTTTGAGTTATCATTGGGTAATGCACAAATTCTGCCAGGATAATATGCGCTTCACTGCAATTGTAGTACCTATCATCTATTTCTCACTGCATCAGAGCTGGAACATGCTGGCATGTAGTTCTTGCATTGTCCCACAATATATAAGTTTAGTGCCAATGTGCACTGTTTCTTGTAAGATATCAAGCAGTCCTCCATTTCCATTTCTTTCTTTAAAAGTTTGAAAGGAAGTATGATAGTACTTGTTTCAGCTCAGCAGTAACTTGTTTTCAACTGCCTTTTTCACTACTTCCGGCCTCCTGCTACCTGATGGCAAAATTACATTTTTTGAGCTTAAATTGAGACTAAATGTCAATTGTGAGTATACTTGACTTTGAAAGGTACCTAATCTGATGCTAGCTTCATTGCTGACTGTCAGGCAGTAAACATTCCACCATTTTCTGCTCCATTCCTTCATTGTTCAGAGTCTAACTTGTGCCCCAATTGATACTGGCTTGAGATTAATGATATTGTGCTGTGTAAGGTTTGGTATGACAATATGGTAGGCGGTTTCCTCACTATGGCAGAGTGAACTCACCGGTCCATAGTTAAGCAAGTATGATCTATTCTGCATTTGTTGGAAAGTACCATGGACTGGATTGTTAAAAAATTATCTCCTGCTGAACTGTCACATCAACTGATAAGTTTGGTAAAATAAAATATACTGTACGATCAAATGGCTGCTTTCATTATCTGAGAAGCACCAAATAGGTTAAGAGTTCTACTTCGGATCAAACAGATTTTTGCGTGTACAGATGGTGAATATTTCATATTTGATTTTTGTTTTGAAGTTTGAACCTTCAAATTTGCCATTTCATCAGGTCCTGGTGAGCCCATTTAATTGGAGCATTAAGAGGATAGGCTTGAGCTTGTTGTGATTCCTAAAGTTGCACCAGAACTGTGCCTGAAGATTTCTTGGAGCTTAGTGTGAATGTAATTAATACACCAATCACTGCTGGATTCTTCATCATTCAAGAGACCACAGATCAACCTTTTATTTTCTGATTTCATGTGAGGATAATGCAATGATCAACATAACCAAATTGCAAATTTGGACTTTGGCAGTATATAGTAGAATTCATTTTTAGATGTTAAGTACACTGACATTGGTGGGCTTTTACTCAAGTAACTGTTAAATTGATGCATCAATAGTTTATCGATAGTACTCAAACCTATCATTTTGAATGTAGTCTGTAGTCTTGATTTTTCTTTCTAGCCAGCCTTGTACTAAACTTTAGGGACACATCTTCAGTATTTTCACCTCGACAAATAATCTCTTGCGATGCAGTATAGACAGAGCATAATACCAATGCATACACTTCATTAGACTGACCTTTAATGCACATAGTCTGATAAGTTCTCTGTCAAAAACAGGGTGGTGGTAATTTATCTTAGCATTAAATGCCTTATTATTGTTAGAGTTTTGAGGAAGGATCACTCAACCCGAAATGTTAACTTTGATTTCTCTCCACAGAGCTTTCCTAGCAGTTTCTGTTTTTGTTTCTGATTTACAGCTCCGCAGTTCTTTTGGTTTTCATTTAGTATTTAACTCACTGCCACTTCTCTTCTGGCATGCCCACCTTGAAGACGTTCTGCTGTTCTCTCGGACAAGATTTCCATTCCAATCTTTTTTTCTTGTCCACCATCATTAATTTCCCTGTTGCTCCTGGTGTTTGACGTATTCGCTAAAACTCATTTCCATAGCCCCATCACTTTCTTCAGTGACTACCTCCAGCTTAGGCTTACCCTACATGGATTTCAACTCAAGTTTTATCCTTAGTGCTTTGAATCCACCCAGGATCATAGGTATTGTTGTGATGTTCAACGTTCCATAGACAGCTGCTCTTGCTGCATTCTGAGATCCACACTCAGTGCCATGCATAGTCATATGCACATTCTTGACCTCTCTCTTCAACAGCATTGCATCATGCTGGCTCAGGGCTGCACCATACTCCAGTTCCACCTCATTCTGCAGCTCATTTGACGAGCTAATAAGGAGCTTTTTATTTCCCTTCAGGCATCAAGACACACAAGATGTAACAACTTAGAGGTCCCATGGCCCTCTGGAACCTTCCTCCCCTCCCCTTCCCTCTGACTCTATCCCTTCCCCCACCCCCACCTCCTGTTGGGTATTCACCACCCCTCCTGACGTTCTGCTCTCTGAAACTGAATGTTTTGTACTCAGCAAAGTTCACTTTTATCCCTCTGTGTCCCCACCTCAATAGATTTTGGGCACAATGTGACATTGAATTCTTCTTCCTTCGCCCCTGTTTCATTTCTTTGGACAAGAGTCCTCTCTCTGTCCCATAGACCCCTTCGCCCACCTCCAACACTCCTCGCTACCCCCCTCCCACCTGGACCCCTCCCTCTGGCCTTTTACCTGACCTCAACCTGTTCATTGAGAACTCTCGATGTGACATAGGTTGTCTCAATTTCTGTGTCCCCATATCCATTCCAACTGATCCTCCTGGGAACTGACTCCACTCCATGCTGTTAGATCAACCCTGACTTTGTAATTAAGCCTGCTGATAAGGGTGCTGCGGTTGTAGTCGGGTGCACTGATCTGTACATTGCAGAGGCTGAGCATGAGCTCTCAGATACCTCCTAGCTCCTCCTGGACCATGATCTCCACTATGGAACATCAGAACATTGTGTCAATTAGTCAGTGCCGTCATGTCAATTGGTGACACTGCATCCTCCTGCCTCCAAGTTGATAGTCCCCCAACCACGCATAGCTCGCTTCTACCTCCTTCCTAAAATCCACAAACAGGAATGCCCAGGCAGACCCATTGTTTCAAACTGCTTCTGCCACACAAATTCATCTCTTCCTACCTTGACTTGGTCTTTTCTCCCCAGTCCAGTCCCTACCCACTTACATTGTGATTTCTCTGATGCTTTACGCCAGTTTCAGAATTTCCAGTTTGTGGACTCTGGCCACTTCCTCTTTACCATGGACGAGCAATCGCTTCATACATCCATCCCACATCAGGATGGTCTTGGGGCTCTGCTTCTTCCTGGAACAAGGGCCTGAATCGTCCCCATCCACCACCAGCCTCCTCCACCTGGCCAAGCTTGTCCTCACCCTGAACAACGTTCCTTTCAACTCTTCTCATTTTCTTCAGGTGAGAGTGGTCTCCACTGGGTATCCACATGGGTCCCAGTCATGCTTGTATGTTTGCAGGGTATATGGAACATTTCTTGTTTCAGTCCTATTCTGGCCCCCATCCATTCTTTCTCTGGTATATTGATAATACCATCGGTGCTACTTCCCTCTTATCTTAAATTGGAAAAGTTATTGATTCTGCTACCAATTTCCACCCTGCTCTTACCATCACATATGTTCAGATGAGGCCAACTTTGACAACGGAGCCTCCAAATGTCCACCTTCTTCTTTAACCGAGGATTCCCCAGCACCATTGTTGACAGGGCCCTCAGGCGGTTCCAGCACATCTGCCGCACTTCGGCCCTCAACTCCTCTCTTCCCTCCTGCAATGGTGATGGTGTCCCTCCTTGTCCTTACCTACCATCCCATCAGCATCCACATCCAGAGGATCATTAGCCACCATTTCTGCTACCTCCAGCACAATGCCACCAGCAGACACATATTCCCCTCCCCTCTCTTGTCAGCATTCTGCAGGGACCGTGCCCTCCAGGACACCCTGGTCCACTCCTCCATCACTTCCCCTGCAACCGTAGAAGGTGTAACACCTGTCCGTTTACTTCCTCCCCCATCCTAAATTCTCATCCAAATCATTTACATAGGTGACAGACAAAAGTGGACCACTGGTCACAGGCTTCCAATCCAAATAATACTCCTCCACACCCCTCTGTCTCCTGCTGTTAAGCCAATTTTGTATCCAATTGGCAAGATCTCCCGGAATTCCATGTGATCTAACTTTACTATACGGAATCTTGTCAAAATCTTTACTAAAGTCTATGTAGACAATGTCTACCGCTCTGCCCTCAATCTATTTGGTTACTTCCTCAAAAAAAATCTGTTTGTGAGACACGATTTCCCTCACACAAAGCTGTTTGGGAAAGTATGATTTCACCAGAGTTCAGTTGTTTCTAACCTTAATTCTAATGTTTGGAAACCCAAGTTGGATATGTTAAGACCATAAGACATAGGCGCAGAAATTAGGCCATTTGACCCATCGAGTCTGCTCTGCCTCTCAATCATGGCTGATAAGTTCCTCAATACCATTCGCCCGCTTTCTCCCCGTAACGTTTGATCCCCTTGATAATCAGGAACCTATCTATCTCAGTCTTAAACGTACTCAATGATCTGGGCTCCACAGCCTTCTGTGGCAGTGAATTCCATAGATTCACCACTCTCTTGCTGAAGAAGTTTCTCCTTATCTCTGTTCTCAAAGGTCTTCCCTTTACTCTAAGTCTGTGCCCTTGGGTCCTCGTCTCTCGTACCAATGGAAGCATCTTCCCAACATCCACTCTGTCCATGCCATTCAGTATTCTGTAAGTTTCGATTAGATCCCCCCTCATCCTTCTAAACTCCAATGAGTATAGTCCCAGAGTCCTCAAACGTTCCTCACGTTAAGCTTTTCATTCCTGGGACATTCTCATGAACCTCCTCTGAACCTGCTCCAAGGCCAGTCCTTCCTTCCTGAGATATGGGGCCCAAAACTGTGCACAATACTCCAAATGTGGCCTGACCAGGGCCTTATAAAGCCTCAGTAGTACATCCCTGCTTTTACATTCAAGTCC